CCCATGATGCACTGCCATCCCTATCAGGGTGTACCCCAGCCCCGTGGCCCATGATGCACTGCCATCCCTATCATCTCTTGCGGGGTTGTGGAAAGACTGGAGACTGCAGGGTCATGGAGGAAAAGGCATCAGGGAAGGGGACTGAGCTCAGCAGTGATGAGGGGCTGTGCGTCTATGTTAAGGCTGGTTCATACTTCTCTGCACAAGCGCAATACTCGCGCATCCACTCTTCGTATGCGTACGCAGAAACATACATAGTGCGCCAGTCAAGCCGCGTACCATGCCCTTGCACACAACGTGTTGTATTTATATTCTTATTAATAATATGAATTATTATTCTGACGCTCCCTGCACACGTACCACAGCAGTGAGATTTGTGTCCGTTTCTCTGTTTTACAAATTCAGAGCCCTGCCTACACTCACGCCACATGCATTTACATGCATATAACATTTTTATCCCCTTATAAATAGTCTGTAGGGTTTGCGAACTGCCCCAACGCTCGTCAAAATCTTCCAGGTTGGTATTTAAAGTGGACGCTAGCGAATCGATCATGCGCAGTGTGCGCAGAGCTGCGGGGACACAAATTCGGAGTGCAACAGGCGTTGGTCCGCAAAGGCGAAGCGACGAAACGGCCCGTAAACGCGTGCAGGGGAGTATGAACCAGCCTTTACGGCGTGCTTGTCTCAATGGGCCTTGGCGAGTGGAGCCTTCCTGTGGCTGTTTACCAGCGGAGCCCTTCCTGGGTAATAGGCTGGGATAATGACTCAAAGATTATTGAGAAATCATCCCCCAAGCCGTTCCCTGTTTTTCCGAGTTTGTCATCAGTGCGGTTGCTCACTTGCCTGACTTATTCAGTTCCTAATGACAAGTGCTCTCAGGAGGTATGTGACCTCACCATTTGAACACCACACCCGCCCCCCCACCAAAAAAGAGGATGATTTGTTTTTGGATCATTATTTTATGGCTATGTTTTCCCCGCTTGAAATGGTTAATGGACACTGCTGATTAATAGCCGTTCAGACGCAGCAACATGCTGATGGACGTCATGCATTTAAATGCTACTTCAGAATAAGCTTTAGAATGGCTTTGTAGATTCTCTGCAAATGATATTTTTGAATACCACTTGTACCCTGAATGGTGCCGTTGGATTCCATATCTCTGCATTCTTTCCATTCTTCATCTCTATCTTTGTCCTAAATAAATACCTAGCTCTAGAGGATATCCAAATGATGGTCACAAGGAAATAGCTAGTGGATTTTTGGTGGTTGAAGCTGTGACCTGACTTGCAGTTAGATAAATAGTTTCACGCTGGAAGCTGAGAAATGTCAGGCTCTCCGTTTGCAGTCCAGTGTTTGCTGAGGGCGTCTGGGGCGTTCTCCTCGTATCCGAGCCTGAAAGTAGCGGGTCTAACTTGTGGGTTAGAAAACGAATTGGGGAACATTCTGGATGGGTTCGTGCCCAGTCACATGCTGAGGCCAATTTCGAGTCACTGGTCCACCTGAATTCATGCCTCAGGACATTTAAATTGTCTTTTTTGACAAGCTATTTATCTCCAATTGAAGCAGGAACATGGAACATATGAACACTCATGTGGAAGACTGTGGTTGAAATGCTTTTTTAAATAAAATTTGTAGTGTTTGTAAGCAATTTGTTGGATTTATGAGGCTGCTGTAAAGTATTTGGATGACTTAATTTTATGCCTTAATTTTATTTGACACTTTAGTTTGACAAGACAGGTTAATTTATTGTGTTTGTTTTAATGAAAGTGTAGCTGGGATAGTTACAGGCAGGTACCCTTTCAGATTAATAAATGTTATATTTATAGACTGAAAAATGAAATGATTGCATTTTGTGAGGCTGGATTAATGCAGTGTTTCTGTGATTATGTTCTTGTTACATGTTTCAGTTCTCATACATTTCACAAAACAAAATTAACTTTTTCATCTTGGGTTCCCCTTTAAGAGGAACTGTATGTGTTGGACCACAATTGGTTTGACTTGTGTAGGTCTTTTTTTTGTTGGTTTTAGCTTTAGATACAGCGGTTTATCTTCAGGGAGCTGAACCTGGGATCCCAACCCCCAGTTTAGCATAACCACTTTCACACAAGCTCGTATTTCACGGGAATGAGGTATGGAAGCCTAACTACGCACATTAATGCTATCTGTGAAATATTTTTGTGGTATGTTGCATGTCTCAGTTAACAGGAAATTTGCGGGATGGTGGTGTGTGGCTCAGCGAGTTAGGGTGCCATGCCTCTGACCAGAAGGTTGCTAGTTCAAATCCCAGGCTCAGCAGAAGCTGACACCAGGTCCTTGACCCCCAATTGCTGCAAGGACTGACTGACCCTGCTTTCTCAAAGACACATAATAGCAGCATGTTTGCTAGATAATGGCTCAGTCAAGGATTTGACATATAGCCATTTGATACAGGTACGTTTGGTATGCTAATTTTCTTCCATTATGTTGGAAATCCATTTTTCTTCTGCAAAACACTGTAATTTGGTGCAATATACTGTTAGAACCTTCCGGAACGTAGGCAACAGGCCTGCTCATGTCTTGTTACACAGACTTGGGAGGGGCCCCTTACCAAAACTGGACTTACTGAAGACATGAAGCATTGCCGACACTCAGCAAGTTCAATAAAACTCCAGTCAGATTTCGTATTACATATTTTCTCCTAACGAGGTGTAAAATGGGCAAAAATACTGCGGTTGCTAATTGCCTTGTTTTGCTTTTGTGGTTTGCGGCACAAACCTGCTCTCTCAGAATGAGTCCGCTTCCCCATCCTTTGTTGAGACGGTGCCTGACTAAAGTCCACGAGTCATAGATAATAGAAACTGCATTAAGAGGGTTGGGGTTAAGGGGGCGCTGATGACTGCTCAAACAGAGACTCGATAAAATACACACCAGCTGGTACACAGTGGTGTTGGTGTGCAGCCAACTGGACAAAGAGCGTATGGTTTCGGTTGGAAGATGGTAATGAAATCGGGCGACTTCTTCTAAGCGGAAGAGCTTCCCAAATTCTTACATCTCTAAACCTCCTTAAGGGGAGATATTTTTTCTGCCTGCTGCTTATTAGACATTTATGTTGATCTGTGGGGTTTTTGTTCTTCTCAACAAGGTGGACCTGGAGTCTCGTTTGAAGACAAGGGCACCTCTTAGTCCCAGTTTATCTCCTTTCACGCATGAAATGCCAAAAATCTCCCTGTGTGAAAAAGCAGGAAAAAACATGTAATAAAAGGACGGGAGAGACTGGAGATGCTGCAGCATATTGGTTCATATAAAACATCCAGCTTTCAGAAAGTTTGCACTCGTAAATTTGAGGTGAGAATTAAGGTTTAGTGTTCTGTTAGAATGAAAATAAATTATTTGGTTGTGTCTCAGTGTGCAGGGTCAATTGTCTCCGCTGTGTTTCCACCAACCTGCAGAGCCTCATTTTGTGATGGATTCTCTCGCACTTAACTTTCCGTCACGGTGTCTCTGAGAATGCCACACAGGCTTTGGGAATGGTGGGGGTTAGGGTTAGGGTTAGGGTTAGGGTTAGGTGTGGCTCGGCAAGTTGGGATGCTGTGCCTGTGACCAGGAGTTCAGTGGTTCTGATCCTAGGGCTGGCAAAGTGACCTCACCGTGAAGCCCTGGCCCGTAATTCCACGTTTCTCTGGAGACTGTCTGACAATGATCACCATTTTGGCTAAAAGCACATGCTCAATAAATGTAAAATGTGGACTGTTCACAACACACACCCATGTGACCACTGTGTGACCATGGCCGCCCAACCTCACACAAAGCGAATCTGACAGCGGCGATGATCAGCTGACAGTTCATTGGTCTGAAGGGGCTTGTTATCCAGTGAGATGGAGAACCACCCAGAATGTTCCTCCATCTCGCCAATGAGCTTGTATATTTACTTCTCCAGTGAAATACGACGGGTCCCACATAAATCCATGACACCTCCCTGACACTTCATTGCCAGTTTAGCTTTTCTGACTGTCATCGTTATTTATTTGAGGACAGCTCTCACTCCGGGGGAATCCGCCTTTGGAGCACAGTTGAGTGAGACTTGCTCTTCCCTTTGAAAACCCCAGTGAGTCAGAAATACTTTTGGCATCCAAAAAGTACAGCAAACTGTCCCTAATCTGTAAGAGAGATGATTAAAAGCCCCAGAGGATGCAAGACACACAGTGATGGAGCCCAGGACAAACATGGAAACATGTGAGCACAGCTAGTGTACTACCAAGGTCTGTGTAGAGAGGCTGATGTAATATTTTGTCTGTATATTTCAAAATGCCTTTCATTTGATAGTAAAATGTACAAAAGAATCATTATCACTGCTTTTTCTTGTGGTTGTTGGAAGAGTGGACACAGATTATTGATGTTGTGTTCAGGGATTATCTGGGTTTGTCTTCCTGTTTATTGCTGGTTACTATGGGTCACAACTTTAGTTTGTTTGTGGTAAGTGTGGCACCCGAGTTCGGGACACCACGTTAAAATCTCGCGGACACAAACTGAGCTAATTTACAGCCAGGCTGATATTTTTAAACCTCTCGCTTGATTACAAAAACGATACAAACCCTGAAAGGGAATCTGTGGAAAAATGCAGACAGATTATTCTTCAGAGATGCTCAGTCAAACCCTTGGAAATGTCCTCTGTCTGCAAGCGGCCCCCTGTCAGCTGTTTGGGAATTGATGGGATATTAAACAGTGGGGGGGTGGGTGGCAAAAACAAAAGTCGATTTTAATTTGCTGTACTAGTATGGAAATGCAGTTAAAAGTACATTTTGGAGGGAGGGGAGAAACATTTCTCTTTCCTTGTGGTCTCTGTGCAAAAAAAGGCGTCGGAGGTCAGCCAGGAGTTATCCAGAACTTCTGGGTGGTTCTTCATGTGTTTACAATCATTCTATGTGGCTGTTTTTAATGTCATTCTTTCACCTCTTTTGACCTTTTCGAGAAGCAGATCCGCCATTGTGGTAGACTACACCGTTTCACAATACACAAACCGGCAGACATTTGCATATGATTTTCAGACGCAGAAGACTCATTGATTTCAATATCTCACGTTATTCTTTCAGTGAACTAATCCTATCCGGTGTGGCAACCTATCTGACGGTCATATATGTGGTTTTCCGGTTGTGAAATGACTGACTTTAGGACCCAGTGTCTTGCAGCCGCCTCTCACCCTGATGTTAACCGGTTACTGGGCACCCTGGTCTGTTGGCGCTTTGTGTTCCTGTGGACGGGACATTCCTTCAGCTCCCGTTTCCCAATGGCAGTGTATGTATAAACAGACGTCTGTTTGTTACCTCGCGTGGCCGTCACTGAAGTGCTATGATGAGGAGCATACCCAAGGCGGGCAGAATAAAGCTCATCTGTCACTCTGCGCTGGACTTTCTCCTGGAAACTCCCTTCATTAATGGTACCACAGGGTGTGGTGTCTATATGCAGTCATGGTGGTGGTGCTGGTGGCGATGGTGTTGATGACCACGCAGGTGTTGCAGAAGTTGTTCACCACACCATCTTTCATCTCAGGCATGCAAACTAAGAAACAAAGATGCAAGAGGATCCCCACCTGGTTTGAGATGATCTCTCAAACGATACAGTTAATAGACTTTGTACTTTTATTGTCTATCAAGGACTACAGTGTATAGTGGCACATAACATCTGATCGTGGAGGTCTGGAATCATTAACGTACGGTTATGCTGGAGCTTTAGATCTGTTGAAGTTCACAACTTTTTGTGCTTGTGTCTGGAGAGGAATAAAAGCATTGCGACACATCTGAGCCACATGTCGGGTCCAGGATAGCTGCAGGAGATGTAAGTCAGAGGAGTTTTGTGTAGAAAGTCAACAGAACCGAGGCCCAAGAACAAAGGGATCGGGGAACGCAACAGTGGATTAACCGCCTCCAAGATGGCTGGCACACAGCAGACTCTCCGTGGAGAGATGCTCCTCACCCAGCCAGAGATGGCATGTCTTCTAACTCGCCCGCTATGCTGTCTGCGCTACAGACTCCCGCTTCTGCCGTAAATCAGGCGCTGCGGTGCTGTGGCTGATGTTTTTGGCTATTCGGCACATCTGGATGTGTGATGCAGGCTGGGGCCGTGTGCTGCCTAAGGAATGGGGAGACCCTGGCCAAGGACAGCGTTTGGGGTAAATCTCCATCTTTATCCTTACAATTTACACTACTTTTGGCATGTGCCATAATATTGACCCTATCATGACATTAATGCGGGGGGGGGGGGGGGGGGGGGGGGGGGGGGACGTGCAGAGATCAGAGACCAATGGTCATCAGGGAAGGTGCCCAACGACGTGGATCCATTCCACACGTTTCCTTCAATCTGGACGCACTAAAAGGAACCACAAAGGCTTCCACAACGCTGTGGTCCAGGGCAAGAATAAGCAAAGAATGTTATTCTCCTGCTTTCAAGCAAACTGGTTTTATTAGTTTTACTGCTTGGTCCAGATAGGTCACTGCCTGGCATAAATTTAATGTTTATTTTTGTGTCTTTTTTTAACACTGAGTAAATACTTGGAGCCACAAAGCATGTGTGAAGCGCAGTTCTGTTTCCTCAGGATCAATAAGGTTTAATTTAGGGGGGGTGTCCCATGTGAATCTTCACCCTCAGTAGGTTTTAGCCCAGGTAGCAACCTGAGATATCCCTTACCCTGTCAGATTTGTGCTCCTCAGCTCACAAGTACCTAAAAACAAGGTATTTCAATGGCAGCCTATTGGGTATAAAAGTTTTGTCTCAGGCTAGTGTTTCAGATTTATTTAGAAGATGCCTCTGTCCAAAGCAACATACAAATGATGAGAGAGTCACAGTGTAGTATCAGGCTGGGTCCAGCACCCCTTGGGGTTAACAGTGATGAATTCACCAGCCATGGGAATCAAGTCCACAACCTCCCGGATATAGGCACAGATCCCAGACCCACCAGGCTACACACTGTGGTTTTTGGTCACTACACAGCAGTACAGGGCGCAAGGAGGAGGTGTGGAAGGGATGGATTATGTCAGATGGGGTTGGAAAGCTAAAGAAACACAAAGCCACAGATGTGTGGGTGACAGGCGGTGCGTAATCCTGCAGGGGGCGCTCCACACACACTTTTCACAGTTTGAGGACAGTGTTATTCTTACCAGCATAGACTTAAATATTTAAAGTTTTTGTTTTAAAGATGCGAGTCTCCGACACTGTCTTGGAGCTGAACTATCATTTCACACAATGTGTGTATTGACTTCCCGTGAGAAGTAGGTTCTCCACCCGCCCCCCCCCAACTCCCCACAAGCCTATGGGAAATGCACATTCTCTCACAGAAGGTCAAGGTGGGCCTGCCAGGTGCAAACTGTAGCCTCTGTGCTGCCCCCCCATCCCCCCCCCTTTCCACACTCGCACCAGAGAAAGTTATAAGAAAAAGGTAGATGAGACCACACTGCAGTCTAGGGGTGTCTGCTTGCAAACGATCATCCAGAAAGATCTGATCAGTAGGTGGTTCTCAGTCTGTGAGACAGGCAGACACACAAACAGGATGTTTTCTGCTGGCATGACTCATGCCAACTTTTTATTTTCTCGCTTTAAATGCACATGGTAATCAAGGTCAAAATTACTTAACATATTCTCCAGCTTTGCTTATTTAGTATTTTAAAAACACCTGAAATAAAACACGGAGGGCCTTGAAATAGAACATTTATGCAAAAATGTTCAGTTTTATGCATGTGATTAAATGCACGGCTATCTATTGCTTAGTAACCGAGAGGTTAGACCACAGCACCACCTCAGCTGAATATACAGGTGCAGGATCGGGAGAATCCGGGGAGGTTAGACCACAGCACCTACAGGTGCAGGATCGGGAGAATNCGGGGAGGTTAGACCACAGCACCTACAGGTGCAGGATCGGGAGAATGCGGGTACAGCTACCTGCAGGTACATTTCAAAAGTTTATAAAAAAAAAATGCAACACATTACTGTAGGGGGCACAAAAAATACTATATAGTTACTATATTTAGACGTTACTATATTTGTTCATGGTTTGTACTTGAGTAGTAACTGAGTTCCTAAGTTACTTGTGCCCTCTCAGTAAAGTGTTAGCAAAAAAAACAACAAAGCAATAAGAGCACACAAGGGCCACATGGGCACCGACTACATTGTTTGTGATTTGCCACATAAGAACCATGCAGCACAAGGCAGAAAGTTCCTAACGTGGGCTCACTATAGCATAAAAAGCCAAATAAATACCCTACGACTTGTCAGAGCACTGTAAAAACGATGGCAATCGGAGTAAAACAATGGAGGGATCCATTCTGTACATTAAACCGCTATGTTCAAGTGCACAGAAACACCTCTTTTTTTGGAACATGCTTCATAGATAATACCGACATCAGCTTTGCAATCCTCGGTAGCGAAAATCGACAGTCCTGTTTGTGTGAGAAGGGGTGGGGTAGGCATCGTGCAAACCCTCGGCGGGGGGGGGGGGGGGTTGATGAACGGTTACTTCCTCCATCTTTTGAAGCCCATGAACATGCTGCAGCCGTAGAGGATGGACACCACAAACGCAAATATCTGCAAAAGCGATTAAAAGCCCATGATGACAAACATCAGTGTAATACTGGACAAAACAAGTGCAACATAACAACAAAAGACGACAGTGTAGCTCCTGTCGCTGAACAAGTTTTATCACAAGAATATAAGGTAACAAAACGGACAGTGTTGCTATTTGCAGGATTTTATTGACTCTCAAAATACAGTGCAGCTGTTTCAAACGCATTTCAAATTACAGTACTGTACACATTAAATTACTGAACTGTGTATAATTCAAATACGCTATAATACAGTACTGTATATTAAATACAGCTTATTGTAGTTTTGCTCCTGCATCTGGATGGCTCATTTTTTTATCATAGGCTTTGATGAGTCTATATTTGTCACTGAAAGAAAATGCCTCTTTTTCCCCGTCATGTTTTCTGTGCACGAAGCATTAGTCTCAGGTAGCTGGACTGGTTGCCGCAAGGCAAAGCAGGGCTATTAAAATAAAAAAATTTTAAAAAGAAAAGAATTATCGTAATTTTATTTTTTTCCATATGATATCATGTATGAAAAACCCAAAGTGAACACTGTTAGTGGACTACTTGATTACTATAAGCGATTTATTTAAACAGTGTTTGTACAGGAATGGTTCAGTCCCAAGCTTTTTTATCCATATAAGCGGGTGATTGCTATAACAATGATCACTATAAGCAGGTTCCATTGTAATGATAATAGCAATATTATATAAGAAAGCTAGCTTTACATGATGTGTAAATTGTTAAAAAAAACACACACACAGCTAGCTCTGGTGTAAAAGTGCATCCATTGATTCATTCTGCATAGGAAGGCTGTGGATTTGTTCTGGATGAAAACAGTTACAGCCGCTCATGTCCTGGTTAACCGCACTTAAACCTAGTCAGCTTCAGAGACACATGTGTGCAAGCAGTCCATTGTCTTTTGTTTACAGGGCTGACATTTACCTAAATCAGACAATGACCTGAAATTCACTGGAATTTGCTTAAGAGCATCGTGCTGTTAGTCTACTGTGGGCCCGACCACCACGAGGGAACACCCTTGCATCTGTGACCACTGGCGTGCTCGCTGACGCTCTGGCTACCACGTAAATCCGTGTGAAGAGTAGCGGGGAGACAGGCGATTACGTACAGTGGCTATATCTACATTGACTCACAAACCGTTCCAGGCAATAGCCATCATATTTGGCAGGACAGAATTTCACCACTGATATTTGATACGTCTAGATGACAGAGCTTCTTGCTCATGGCTAAAATGACACAAAACCATAACGTCTTCGACTCTGAGCCTCACTTAACCATTTATTCAATTCAGTATCCAACTCACGCTTATGCTGCTGTACCTATTGATTACATGCGCATTGCACTACATATATAAGCCCTCATGTCCGGCCCCCCCGTTTCACACTGTCCTGTGTTTTGCACTTTAAGTCCTGTGAAAAGCCTTCCCTTGTCACTAACAGTCTGGATGTCACACTGTGATCGTGGGGGAACATTATTTCATGCTACTTTATTCCTGTATACAGATAGTATGACAATAAAGCTCAGTTTACTTGACTGTTCCATTAAATCCAGATAAAGTTCTCTTATAATGACAGCTTTGTAGTAAATTACAGTTCTATCATTCTTCTGCATGCGGTTTACCCTCAAGACAGGATAAGTGAGTAAGCATTTTAAGGGTTTACGTGGCGGGACGGTGAAATGTCCTGAGGAGAAAGCTCTTCTGCGCAGCCCCCACTGCTTTCATTTCCGCTGTGCCTGGGATCACAGCCCATGCTGGTGGTTTTCCTAGCTGCCTAGCGCTGGTTTTCCTGCACTCCAAACCCACAGAATCGGAACAGCCCCCCCACCGCCGGCCCATCCTGCATTTTGAACCCGTCGGACTCGATGTGGTTCGCTGCCCCAAGCACATACACTGTCAGAAGAAAAAGAGTATCGATTTGTACCTTTGCTTGTCCCTGGGGCTGTATTCTCAGTGGTCTGCCAATTGTACCATAGCTGCAGGTTTATGTACCTTTTAAGGTACAGATATGGACTCTGGGGAACATCCCCAAGGTACAATCACCATTAATGTACCCCCAATGGTACAAATGTTCCTTAGAGTCTATTTCTGTACCTTAAAAGCTACAATTACCTGCAGCTACATTTACAACTGGCAGACCCTTGAGGGTACAGCCCCAGGGACAAGCAAAGGTACAAATTTGTACTCTTTTTTTTAACATAAAATTGTAAAAGTCTGTCTAATTCATTGAATTGCAACTTGATACTTGTATTTTTCTGAGATACATTTGAACAACCAATATCCAGTGCCCGTGAGAGTCTGTTCAGGTCCACATCGGCCCACAGACGTCCACATTAGCACGAATTAGCCTGACAAGGACTTCTTCAGACACAGCAGCGAGTGTGTACCTCAAACTGCTGTGGGCAACTGGGGTGGGATTCGAACCCTCAGCACTGGCAGAGTGTGGCAGCAGAACTGTCCACTGTACCAAAAAACTCAAGGATGTCTCACTTATCAGTTTAGGATTGCTAGACAAATAAAATAATAAACCAAGCCATTTATCTAGTTGCTCTTTATGAGCTCAGTGCTTCCCCATCAAATTATCTAAAAAATAAAATGGGGTAGAAGAGGTGTTGGTGTGGCCAACGGGTGGTCAGTGTGGATCCCAGTGCCCCAGTGCAGTGAGGGGGACACTGTACTGTAAAAATGACATCGTCCCTCAGATGAGACATAAAACCGAGGTCCTGACTCTCTGAGGTCATAAAAGATCCCTGGGCATCTTTTGAAAGAGTAGGGGTGGTACCCCGATGTCCTGGCTAATTCTGCCCACTGTGGCCCTTTCAAATCTGGCCTCCTAATCATCCCCTACATCTAACTGGTGAATCTCCTGCCTTAGCTACTGTGTGGGGAGCATACTGGCGCAGATGGCTGCGATTGCATCATCCAGGTAGGGGCTACACAGTGGTAGAGGCTGAAGTGCCTGTTCTGTAAAGTACTGTGCGTGTCTTGAAGAGTGTTATATAAATGTAACGTTCATTCTTTCAACATTCATACACGCTTGGTGAGTCTGACTGCGCCCAAAGGGTGTGAGGGGACGGGGACGGACGCGGTCGGTGTGGCGCTTACTGTGGCTGCCACGTTGATGCTGTACTGGCGACTGTCCAAATAGGCGATGATGTTCTGTTCCGGTTTGGACACGCAGGCCGTGTCATTGCCGCTGATGCTTCCGGCGGCCGTGGTTGCCGCTTCAAGCACGAAGGCGCTGAAGTAGAGCAGCAGGGCGCCAAAGTGGTACGCCATGTCCTGTAAACACCATCGAGTTTAAAGTAAATTAAAAAACATGAGAAATGCGTTATTAAAACCTCAGCTCCTCAGAGAGGGATCGCTTGACGGGATTTACTGGGGCGCAGCAAACCACAGACTTTATTTGATCCATCATTCCTGTCATCTTCACCCCATCCTTAAATGTAAAAGAATAAACTTTCTAAACGGGGTGACAGAGGGACCCTGCTTGTCACAAGGAGGGGCGACATTTACTCAATTCATTGTTGGCATTGATCTTTACAAGAGCTTCACATGTCATTGCATCCTCCCAGTCCCAAACGTTCCCACCCTAAAAGAAGCGATTTACAAACAAAACCGACACTCCCCGGTGTCCTTGTGCTGTCACCGTTGATAATTGAATTTGGTTGATGAAACTGGCAAAGCCACGCCCGACATTTGTACCGCCCGCTACGTTAGGCCAGACACCACAAAAGCGTAAAAAAAAAATAATGAATGAATAACAAGCAGTCGGGAAACGCGATGCGGTTGCAGCCAGTAATCCTTTTAATCACATTGCCAGGCAAACGCTGATGTGAGGGGCTTTTACTTATTGCAGAAAGTATTCATATTAAAAGTGGCATGCATCCAATTATTTTTCTGCATAGCAATACAGATCATTTTATTAGAATGGCCGCTAAGTTAGTTGGCGTCCGCTAGCTGTTTGTCGTTGCGAAGGTTACAGCTGTATCATACTGACACAAACACTTGATGGACGAGTAGAGCTTGCTTTTCAGGGTGGTGTTCACAGAAACAAAGATTTCCTCAAGTAGCAAGGCAGGCCAGTAAGTTAAATCAAAAGGCAGAGCCTACGGTTTTTATTTTAGCTTGATATCCGTAAGTTTTCAGAGTACACGATCAATATGGCTCGATCAGCTTCGCGGCATTCCTGCAGACGTTACACGGAAATGACTTATGCTCTATGGTCAGTGGTTTTATGGAGGTGACGGTGCATTGATGATGCTCACTAGGCTGAGCAGCTACATGCTTATAAGGAAGACCTATTATATAAATCACGTATAGTACGACCGGACGTTTCTATGACAACGTGGGCGTCGCTATACCCCTTTTACTAGGGCATGTGTCCCAGTATTTATGTGCAGTGCCCCAGTGATATCTCACGTTCAAATCATATGGGTTGGGGGGCCCTGTGTCCCAGTACAGATTTATGTCTCACAATGTCCCTGCCTGTCAACAAATGATCAGGAAAAAAATTGGAAAATGATAGACTGGCAGATAAATTTTGACAAGTGACAAGCAGGTCGACGGTAAAAACAGCCTCCCCATGAAATCTGATGCACCTGAAACCAGCTTTAAAAGCTCACCAGGAAATTCCAGTCCGTATTGATTTTGTCCACATAGCCCAGGAGAAACAGCAGGAGGAAGGCAGTCGAGAAGAAAAACAGGATCACTGAGACAAACAGCACCCAGCCTTGCAGCAAGGGCACCGGTAAGTTGGATGAGGCCACCAGGATCCATACTAGTCCTCCGAATATCTGCAAGCACAGAAATGAGCCCTAGTTTACACCACAACGTGCAGGCCCGTGCCTGTTCCTCAGTAGCATTAAAATAACCAAGAATTCCTTAAAAAGTCAGTGCCTAGTTACTTATTTACTTCGGCAGATCGTTAAATACCGATTGACACTTTTGTAAACGTCTCGCCAGCAATATCAATGAAATAAATGACGCTCGTTATGTCATGAAACATTATTTTTTGCGACGTTAGACCGTACCTGTCATTTACCTGAAATCATGTGTTTTAATGCATAATTTTAATGCATTTCTGCTTCCAGTTAAAAAGTGCAAAAAAAAAAAAAAAAAAAAAAAAACATCGTACTGTGTCATCAGCAAAACTACCCGTACCGGAGAAAAACAACCTGTGCTACAACAAACTTTGTCAAATAAATAATCAGAATAAGTCACTCACAATTTCCAGGCAGATCAGCGCCCCGGAGTATGTCCTCAATATGTCTAGCCCGATAGGTAAAGAAACAATCGGGGCCGGGTAGGACGTTGCAGCGGCGTTAGCTGGATCCGACATGCTTTCCGTGGATCGGAGGGCTTTGCTGGCCGGGATCGGAGGTTACAGGCGGATTCCTGTCGGATCACGTGGGCCGCACAGGTGGGACAGGTGCGCGCGGCCACGCCCTCCGCTTGCCGGAAGCGCGCGCCTCTTGCTAAATATTAATTGAGCTTAAATGTGTAAATAAAACCGTCTGACTGCAAACCGCAATAGCAAACTGGTCCTTCGTGTTTGCTGAAAGGTGCACAGAAATCTGTAAAAGCGGGCATTTATAATACAAATAAATAATAAATAAAGTCTTTGTTTAAGATTGTGGTTTGCCTGCAGCATTGACCTTTTCTGACAGGGCAGTCTGTTATAAGCCTTTCAATGTGCTGTAGGCCTATGTGGTTTGTATCTCTGCCACAAATGAAACTTTTAAAGTGAACTGCAAAGGTAAGTGTTACATTGAGACACATAGGCTAATGGCCACAAATGAAAAAAACTATTGTTTCAGACAGGAAAGATGTTTTTTTTTTAATGCCCGAAGAATGAGAACTTTAAAGTGCCTTGAGAATAGAAAGAAAGAAAATGAATAAAAAGTGGAACACGATACGGCTAAGATCAATTTTAAACAAAAACGCAGGCTTTGTTTAAATAGGCTAAGCTCCTTTAGTACAGTTAAGCACACAGAGTGTACCAGAAAGCTGTGAGACTGGTAATCATATGGCTATACATACCGTATATGTGGGAAAATAGGCCCATAGTTTTTCTTGTTAAATATTATCCTAATATAAAAAATAAAAACAAAATATTAACGATAGTTGCCAACATGGTGAAGATAGTCATGTCAAATAGTTTGATTAATGATCAACCGGTCAGCCTATAGTTCAACAGTGTAATGACCGGTTTGTGCAAAGTACACATGCCATCCCATTGAGAAATGACCGCTAAGCAGTGGGACGACGTGTCTTTCGCAAACTGTAGCAGTTTTATACAGTAACTGTTAGCGGGTATAAAGGCTGGGACCTTGTAAGGAAATGGAAGGGCTTTGCTTCAACTTCAGAAGGATCTTAAGGAAATCAAGAAGTAACAGCTTGATTTGTATGAATGCATTTGCTTGTATCTGCGAGGTTTGCAGTGAGAGACCCTGTTTTTAGAACTACCGCCATGATAGCAGAGTTCATGGTTTATTATATTATTTTGTGTAGTTATGTTAGCGGGAACAACTACCTATAATGCCAATGTTTTATGTTTTATTAAGGAAAACAGTGCGTTCTGAGGTCAGGACGTGTTTCATAGTATACATTTTACAATTAAGAATACAATTATTTTAATTTAGGCCTACTGAAAAGTGTATAGTTAAATATGCCTGTGATTTCTCTTTTGGTTTTGCTTATATTGACATATACCTCATAATAATACCTAACTTAATAGTGTTCACCAGTGTTCATCTATGCATGCATTTATTAGGTCTATATAGATCGTCAGATTTGAATCTTCCAACTGCATTGTGGAGTGTGTCGGTGGGTATTTTTGCCCATTCATCCAGAGGAGCATTTGGGAGGTCAGGCACTGATGTTGGACATGAAGGCCTGGCTCACAATCTCCATTCCAGTTCATCCTAAAGGTGTTCGATGGGGTTGAGGTCAGGACTCTGTGCATCCCAGTGAAGTTCTTCCACACCAAACTCACCCAACCATGTCATTATGGACCTTGCTTTGTGCACTGGAGCACAGTCATGTTGGAGCTGAAAAAGGCCTTCCTCAAACTGTTCACAAAAAGTTGGAAGCATAGAATTGTACAAAATGTCTTGGTATGCTGAAGCATTCATTGGAACTAAGGGGCCCAGCCCAACCCCTAAAAAGCAACCCCACACCCTTTACAGCATGATGCAGTCAGGCAGGTAACATTTTCCTGACATCTGTGAAACCCAGACTCATCCATCAGACTGCCAGACAGAGTGTGATTCATCATTCCACAGAACACATTTCCACTGCTCCAGAGTCCAGTGTCAGTGTGCTTTACACCACTGCATCTGATGCTTGGCATTAAACTAGGTGATGTGAGGTTTGCATGCAGCTGCTCGGCTATGGAAATTCATTCCATGAAGCTTTTGGCGCTCAGTCTTTGTGCTGGGGTTAATGCTAGAGGAAGTTTGGAACTTTGCAGTTACTGAGTTAGAGTGTTGGCAAGTTTTACACACTATGCACCTCAGAACTCAGTGACCCTGCTCTGTTACTTACATGGTCTACCAGTTCATGGCTGAGTTTCTGTTGTTCCTACGTGCTTCCACATTGCAAAAATACCACTTACAGTTGACCGTGGAATATCTAGCATGGAAGAAATTTCACAAACAGACTTATTGCAAAGGTGGCATCCTATGACAGCACCACGCTTGAATTCACTGAGCTCTTCAGGACGACCCATTCTTCCACAAATGTTTGTAAACCTGACTGCATGGCTGGGTGCTTGATTTTATACACCTGTGGCAATGGGTCTGAATGAAACACCTGAATTCATTGATTAAGAGGTGTGTCCCTATACTTTTGTACATACTTTTATTGTACGTATGCGGCTCAAAAATCCTGTCTCAGGCAGCAAAAGGCACAAGTTGAGTTGGGCAGATTCATAACATGACAAAAAACGATAAATGGCATAGAATGCAAACTGAAATCTAATTTTAATAAATCATATGAACATATTGTCGGGCGTAACAGAAAATGACAGTAGCTACAGCTTGTCACTGGGTGTTTTCTCTAACAATCTTGTTGCTCATTTAAGGGAACAAAAGGGTTTGTCCCAGAGTGGAAACCATAATCACTGCTATCTCTGACTGTGAGTGTTTACATTCTGTAGCCTGTGTTGTACTTGGTGCCAATGTTTCAAGTGGTCAAATAAGTTTACAATACTTCCAATTCTAGCTGGCACAAATTTTCAGCCGTTTATAATATATAGCCCAAGTCTGTTGCGTGTAGGACTTCACAAATTGCAGGAGTATCGCCACACAACCACCGTCTTTTTACCTTGTTAATCCACAATAGGTTATTCCGCAGCGACACTCATCCGCTCATCCCTCCCATGACCCACACGACCCACCAAAATCGTGCCATAACCAGAGTTTGAAAAATAGTGAGGTGCGGGACCATGGGGGTTGGGTCTCATCAATCCCATTATTGATACCGCCACCTTCATAGGATGTTTATTTATTTTTTTATTAATTAGTTATGTGAAACTTTAGTTAGCCTATTGTTTTTTTATTATTCAGGTGACTATTTAGCTCAAAATTTTATTTTTAGCTCTTAAAAATGACCGAAGCCTGAACCTCGGTGACGTCATACCCCTAACCAAAACAGTAGCACGTGGCCTAATCCGCTAAAGCAGCGAAGCTTGTTGTGCGTATGTATGCTTGTCAGCTCTTAAAAGACAACTATATGATTGGCTGGAATTGCTGTCATGTGTGATGTGCTTCGTTGATGTGCTATCAAGCGATGTATCTTATCGACAGTTTGCCAAATTGTCTCACTATAATATCGTATAATATGGCAATTAGTTGATATATCATTTATATCGCCCAGCCGTAGAAGGCAGGGCTATATGCCTAACTGCAGATCTTTGGGTTTCATGATGTAACCAAAGCTCCTGGAAGAAACCTGCGTTTCACAGGGAAAACGCGCAAACTCAATGCGGGGCAATGAGGACACACCCTCACTAACACTTTCCTCATTTTCGCTACTCTCATTTTTATAATTCGTTTTAATATAATAATTCACCAGGTGGCGCTGTGTAGCACATTCAAGCAACTGTGGAAAATAAATTGTTTCAGGTATTTATTGTAAGTTTAAATCATATAACATTTAGGCTACTAGCGAAACAAATATTTATTACGAATTACACGTGCTCTTGTTTGGCTAGACTGACCTACATTAAATGAAATGTTTTTCAACAAGTATCGCATCAATGAAGCGCAGCAGCCTGCAAAATGTTGCAGCTGATGCAGGATATTTATACTAGAGATCTACTAAGATAAGATATACTTTATGGGCACATTTTATACGTTATATACTATATGTTTTTTTTATTGATCCCGAGGGAAATCCTTTAATAACTCCAGATATGCAGACGTCACAAGGCGGTACTGGCTACCCTGCCTTTCTTGGTAAACTCGCACATGTAGTACATGGCGGCGTCGCAGTCCGCCGGCGTCCACGCTCCGGTGCTCGCCATTTCCACGCAAGTTCCGTTCCTCTGCGCGCTCCCGGGCGTGCTCCAGGAGGTGAAGTTTTGCAGCGGCGAGCTGTCCGTGAACGCGTGCTCGCCCTCCGACTCCGCGGCGCGCAGCCCAATGTACGCGTGAGTAAGGCCGGCTTGGTTGATGTAACTGGCGATCAGGGCGTTTGCCGCCTCACTTTTGGGCATGGCCAGGGTGCCACCCCGCAGCTGGCAGCTCAGCAGAGCGTCTTTGTACTTCCTCCCCTCTTTGACAATTAGGTAGAACTTCTCATCTGTCTCCTTGATCCCTAAAATGACTGTAATAGTAAGACACATTACAGTAAAGTTAAAAATGGGTCAACTGCAGTCAATTTGCATTTTGCCAGCGTATTTCCCTCGTGTTTGCATGAGTCTGTCTGGTTTCCTTCTGTAACCCAAAAACATGAAGTTAGTTGAACTCCTGTCTCTAAATTGTGTGTCTGTGTGCCCTGTGATGGACTGGCATCCCCAGGGGTATAGGAATCTGGGAACAAAGGGCACGTCCCCTTCCCCAAAATCAAATGCCATCCTACGCCACTGGCCATCCCACCCAAGATGCCCGCTGCCTCATGAGTTGTGCTGCCTGTGATGCACTGGATATGGAAGAGATTATGGAAAATCTACAGATGGATTGATAATAATAAAACAATGGGTTTCGCTTCTTGGAAAAGGACTGTCATACTTCACAGAAATGTAAAAAGGCAGTCACTCTCATAAGATTGCGAGGGAACACAACCTGCGGCGTGCAGGTCTGGCTCCGATCATCTTTGGGGGTCTCGGTTCATCAAGGGCAGCCAAATCGCACATGTTAAAGTCACGGGAGAGTCGCACATAGCTTCAATGTGAGAGTGATGTGACGTTACCGCTTTTCAGGAAATTGACAGAGTTCTTCAGCTTGCCAACGTTGACGTCCAGCTGGCCAACAACCTTCCTGTAGCGCCCGCAGTCACAGGTTGTGCCTGTCGGCAGGGCAAATGTCTTACATCTCAAATGCATTTCATAAATATATTTCTCGAATGGTTTCGAGCAGTATTGAAATCATTGAGCTGGCATTCTGTCCAGGGTGTACTCTGCCCTATTGCCCTGCACTAACTCGGGATAGGATCCAGGAGCCCTGCAACCTGGTGCTGGAGAAGCGGTTTGAATATAAATGGAAAGATGGATGAATGAAATAATTAAAAACTTCAGGATGTAATTGCAATTAAAATGCAATTCAAAATGTAATTGCAATTAAAATGCAATTCATGTGTAATTACAAATGTACTGCACATGCAACTGAAATGTAATTAAACAACAGTTCCATCATGTTAAGTACAGCTGTATTTGAATTAAGATAAAATTAAATATTAAATATTGTACCAGGTCTTCCTTTAAGTCCCGGAGGTCCATCAGTGCCACGTATGCCTTTGTCCCCTGAAATGATAAAAGTCACATAAAGATCTTAAAGTAACTGAATGCCCAACCATAAGGCTGAATGTCGGCAGCATATGCTGCCTGTCCTTCTGGATTTCACAAATGATTTAAGGATAAGCTAGAGATGTGAAGATGTTTTTGACATGTGAAGTGTGATAGTCCCTTTTGAGAATTGAGAAACAGAAGGTTTGAAAAACTGCCTGTCGTGCCTCATGTACACCAGCAGATGGCCACACTGTACAGTAGGTCTCCTCATGGTTAAATATGGATCCAAAAGCAACAACTTAGGTAGGGAGATGTTTTCTTCCATGTTAAAGTGTCTGTCTTTACGTGTGTGGGGGGGGGATTATTGTATCACAATAGCAGGTGAGATATCGATTAAGTATTTAAAATCTACAGACGAACTGTTACATTACTGGTTCTAGCTGTAGTTCTTAGACCCTAAAATGTGTCAGCAAAAGACTTAATTGTATGAGACGGTAAATTTCTTAGTCACTTTGAGAAAAGACCTAACAATTAAGCAGTAAAAGTGATGACGGTGGTGATACTGAGTGTGAACTGTAAAAGTTCATGCTTTTTCCCATCTTGTAAAATCAGGTTCAATGAATTTGACATATTGAGAGTTCTGTCACAACTTAGGAGAAAAACACATAAAAACTCTGCTTATATCCATAAAAAAAATAACTGCTTATATCCACACCCTGAATTCGGGCCCTTAATAGCTTCCTGTGCTGGATTCGACTGCAGACCATGTCACAATCAGGCAGACTGTTAAACTCCCGTACACTGCACTCCAAGGAGAGTTCTACAGCCAACACATGGATGTGGTCTGATGTTAAGTAAACACGCGCGTCAAAGTCCTTCAAAGTCCTTCCAGCTCCCAATCCAAATTAGAGGCTTTTGCTGATGATAATGATGATGCGTTCGAGACGTGCTGGACTGAACTCAGGTGTGGAGGGGGGGGTGTCCTGGTGTAAAAATGGCGTAAAGCACTGGTGTGAGGGAGCTGCCTCCCCCGAGCGGGCCAGATTCGGCTTGTTGGAGGTTTGGGCCTGTACCTCTTTCTCCGGCTGGGCCGGTCTTCCCCATTGGCCCAGTGTCTCCCTGGCTACCCAGTTCCCCCCGCAGTCCTGCAATGGGACAGAGAAAGAGCAAACACTGTCATGGAGCGAAGACGCCTTCAACGTGAATGACGGACGGATTGGAAAACAGTCGTAAAGCCTCGCAACCGCGTTGTCTCGCTGGGTTTGTAGAAGCCTGTTGTCTATACCCAGATGACCCCCAAACTTAGGATTTCACCAGAAATGTGTGGATTTTCTTACGAAGTCCATCTGCCTGGCTATCTCCGGGCTGAGGTGCTGGAAGACGTCTTCCCTGATAACCTCAATTCGGTGAAACAGACCACAGTCAGGCACATCTCACTCGCCTGTCTTCAAATTTCTCATCTGATACAGTTTTAGAGCAATTTATTGACGGGAAAGGCCTGGATTGGCCTTGGTGTTGTTTACTTTAATATTCCTCAGTATCTGCTTACATTTGTATGGGTGTAATATTCATGTCTTTGAATTAAAGGGTTTTTCCACAGAAAATACTGGGATAATTTTGCTACTGGTAGTAAATCTGAACCAGACTGCGGTTGCCTTAGGTCATTTTTAACTGCAGCATTTTTACACGTAAAGCGCAGTTTTACTTTTACCTACATGCTTGTCATGTTCTTATTAGGTAGAGGAGTCCTACAGGAAACAGGGTTACGTGGCAAATAAAGACTGATTCTTGACTCTTGAATGATTTTGGGGCGGCGTTCGTGGCTGGGATTTGATACAGTGGGACTCCGAGTGAGGCAGTTAAGGGGGGTCATGTGACTTCAGAATGGGAGATGGGTTTAACAAAAAACAGTGGTAAGGAATAATAACAGAATACAGCTGTTTTAGGGTCAGCACAAGGGGAAACAAACAGAATATGTGTTGGGGCACAGCAGGGGGCAGGATTGGCCACTGGGGGGTCTGAGCGTATTTCCAGGAGTTAAGAGAGAAACAGAGCTCAGTCATAATCAGCAAAATAAAGGAAGGTCAGTTTTAAAGGATGCAGTTCCTCTACCTAATAAACACTGAGTGAAGTTGTGCGTTTGGTACGTGCCACTTGCATGCAAAGCAGCTTTCGGTATCTCGAGATGTACCCTTCATGTACACGAGTTTGTCTGGTAAATGAATGACTGTATACGTAAATACCGTCAGATAACAGAGGTTTTGTTTTTGGCTGGTGGCTCAGACCACGTGACGGGTGTTTCCACGGAGACAGACGTATTTGTGAATGAAGGCTCCACCTTGAAAACAGCACGGGCGGGGGTGGAAGGTAAATAAATAAACAACAAAAAAAAGCGCCTCGCTTCAGCCCCGACAGGGGACGGCCGAAACTGCGGCCGCAGCCGTAATTAACGTGTCTGCCTCGCTTGGGAGCAGGCCCTCTGAGTTTCCTGACTCGGGTTTGCGTCACAGGATGGCCCGCCAGGCTAACGTGCTCGTCCTCGGCTGCTCAGCGCTGCTTTCCAGATGTGGACACTTTTCGCTTAAATGTCCGTCCAGTTGGCAGCGTACAGTGCGGCGCAGCATCGGCTTTTCAATCAGGATGCTTACCTCAGGCTCATCGACATGTAGCGTAAACATAATTCTGCCGTTTTGCAGTTTTGATTCAAACAAACAAAACGAAACGTAAGAAAAACACTGGAACCTGGCTGCCCGGTCGGTCCCGCTTTTCCCAGCCTTCCCTGCTCCCCCGCATCGCCATTGTCACCCAGCTCTCCTGTCGGCAGAGAAAAGACGCGGGTTTTAACCCCCGCGCTCCACGGGTGGTTCATTTACACAAAATCATAATCAGTTTCCTTGAATATCCCAGTACTGATTAGTAAACTAGCCATCATTAGCATTCAGCACAGTCTCAGTAAACACAGTATACAGACGAAAAACAGAGTACTATTAGTAATGTACAAAATACTCTGACATGGCCTTTAGAGTAACCCTGCACTCCATTGTCAATGCATGGATGGATGGTCGCTCTTTGTTTTCCTTTTGTCCACACACTTAATTATAGAATGGTAATTAACAAATTATATATTTCCTTAATTGAAGAAACTGAACTCCTTTCAGCGGCTTGAGGGTTGCTGGAAAGGCCCATCGCGGTTGGGAGACGTTCTGGTTTATTCTCCCTCCCATGGTTCACATGAACCCGTTACAGAGAAATAAGCAGTTTTATCATGTTGCAGCTGTACAAATAGAGACTATCGCGCCATTGGACGTGTGGCAAGCTTGTTTTCTTTCAGCAGAGTAGGAGAAGTTGCTTTGTCTAACGGTTTTGTTCTTTTTTTTCCTTGCCACAGTGTTGGACATGATGCATGCTACTATCACTTTGGCTCTTTGTTTGTCAGCTAACGGGAATCGACCGTTTTTTTCAGCACAATTCCTTTGTGGCTAAGTAAAAACAAGCGTTCGGTGGCATAAACATTGCAGTGGACTGTCATGAGAGGTCACCTGTCATGCCCATTAACAAAAGACAACCGAACCATGCTATTTTGAAGCGTGGTTTTTGTTTAGTGATAAAAGCGGGTGTTGCCGACACAAAAGAGAAAGATGTTTGTGTTGAATTATTTAAAAAAGAAAAACTGAGTCTCTCTCTGTTGTGGCTACAGAACTTTAACTCAAAATACAGAGATTAGTAAACATTGCAGGTAACATATTGAATAATATATAGTATGTATACTTGTTTTTGAAAAACAATGTGTCTTCATCTGTGCTGTTGGGTTATTTTTGTTTTTTATACTCTCCATAGTATGTAAGCATGTAATACTCTCTGTAAGCACGGTGTTTCCTTACCTTTCAATCCTAGCAGTATTGCATTTGAACAAACATCTGCGGCACCTAGAAATGCAAAAGCTTTGAAGAGTAAAAACAAGAAAAAGAACATGCTTCTGCAGTCCAGACCCCCCATACTCGATCTCTGGCAGGATGGCTGGCGGCGAAGATGGATCTCAAGCTTGTTTACTGGACCTTATCACTTTCCCACAGAGCTGTCATGCCACATTATCCAGGACACAAAACTGCTTTTTCTGCATGTGCATTTAACGAATTACTTTATTGGCTGTTTGGCCCCAGAATGGATTTCAGCAGCTGCCTACAAATGCATAAAATTAATTGAGTTGCCTGTGTCATTGAGGGGGGAGGTATAATTCATGTTTGTTTGCTTCTTTCTTCCAGCATAAAAAAAAATAATATATCAGACTTTAGGACGAACTGTTTCTGTTAATATTTTGGTTAAGGGCCATAATCCTGATTGTTGTTATTGTTGTTCTTTGTCGTTGTTGTTATTGCTAAGTTGTATAGTTACATAAGTGAAACTTTGACTCATTTATTCAGCTGGATATTTTTAGTAAAGAACATCGGAGCTCTGCGCAAAGATTCAACAACAGGGACTTGGTTGCACGTCCAGTTCCAGCAGCCCCTAGTCTACCCTGGAGAGCCAAAAGTTACCGGTCAGCGCTTTTGGAATGATGTTTTGGCATGACGACTTGGCGAGGATCGCTGTCGCAAATCCATAATGGCCCTTAAAAGATGTCCGTAAAACCTCGCCTCTTCTGATGAAGGAAAATCAGCGTGGTACTCTGAACGGTTATTTTTAATTGGGCTTATCAGCCATTGCTTTGCTGGCCAGTGTTTGTCCAGTCCAAGTAATTATTAAAGGGTGGTTTTGTGTGTGTGTTTCTGGTAGTATTACTAAATACTACCAAAAAGAACTCCTAGTGAGTCATATAGAGGAAGAAATTCCTTTTTCTGTTTCCTTTCCACAGCTGGAAGCCAGGAAGTCACCCAGTCTATACTTCTTTCAATGGGCTAAATTGGACATAGAGGTGGGCTCACAGCTAGCAATTATTACGAAGGCTAATTGCAGACATGTGGGGTAATACCAAGCCTTTTATGTAACCGACAAGAAGGAGGGTGATTCAAGCTTTTATGCTGAAGTTTAGTGGGTGGTAAACCATTATGTTACGCCACAAGCCATTCACAACATGTACGACATTATGACATATGACGTGGGTGAACAGAAATTCTCGAAGAGGTTTAAGAATTGCAAATTGGGGTCAAAAAATCTTTCACAAATTATTTTATGATATTTTCTTGAATAAATACTGATAATATGCTACATGGCAGTGTCGGGCATTTCAGATCCAGAAGCAACAAATCCAGACCAAGATTTTGTTTCTACCAACCTGTGACTCTTTATTCTCAACTGGCTTGTAGAAACACAATCTTGGTCTGGATTTGTAGGTTTTGGACCTGAGATGGTCAACCCTGCTACAGTGATTAAAAGGGGAGTGAAAGCCATCTGCTGCTGGTTTGACTATCATGTTATGGATAAATAAGCGGAGCAGACCTGAGCAGGTGTTGGACTGACTTGAAGCGAGGGTCTCGCCATCAGGCCAGCTGTCACGTTTGTGTACGCTTTGGGTTTTCGGCTTATTCTGCGTCAGGTTTGTCTTCTTCTCTGGTTAAAAACGGCCCAGGCTCCACATCCCTGCTGTCACACACCTCAATGACCTGCCACACCTTATAAACAAATTCGATCCGACTCATTTGCTTATAATCATTGAACAGAGATTTTGCCGTAAACCCTGTCTCCGTTGGCGTTTTTTTTCCGTGGTAAAAAATTAACTAGGAATTCAAATGAACACCTGAGTAAAATGCGATAGCGTGGCACCGCAGAATGTGAGGACGTGCTCCCTGTTATCTCTTAACGGCAGTGTGACGTCATCATTTTGGTGCGTACAGGTTGTTTTTTGTTATTTATAGATTATAATGCCTCCTGTTCTGTAAAACAGACCTGGCATAAACGTGTGTGTGTGTCTGTGTCTATCTTCAGTCGACGGTTCTGTTTCTTTACTCATAAAGACGGGCTGGTATATAAATATAGATATGTTATGCAATTTGGTCACAGAGTAAATATTTTTTGCATGCTAAAATAGGCTACACTTGATTCATAATGAAGTCACCATCTGACTTGTCATAAACCAGGAGTGACGGTGACCGCTAACATCTCAGTCACCGAAGGGCAATTAGCTGCAGCTAAATTTGCCCCGCTGGATGCGGGACGGCCGTCGTGCTCCGCCCCTCTTCCCTGGCAACCTTTCACGTGGTAGCATATGGAGAAATCCGCCCGGCGCTTTGTTTTCTTTGTATGACCTCGTGCTCTGACCGAGTCCGCCAGATGGCAGAAAGGCCTGCGTGTGTCTGACACGCTTAAGGGCCCTTTGAAGGCGTCCCTGCCTACCGCGGACCGGGCCGTTCCGTGGACTCGTATTCTAAAGTGGAACTAAATACAGTTGGCCCTCCATATCCGCGGGTTCTGCATCTGCAAATTCGACCAACCGCAGATTGAGAGAGAAAAAAATTCAAGAAGTTCCAAAAAAGCAAAGCTGAGCACTGCATTGAATCCACATGAATGTAGTGATGTGTAGGCATACCCTGCACAATCGGAACCAATCCCCTGCAGAGGGACGATTTTACCATATGTAGTGAAAGCATGATAACATTTACTGGATAATTTCATATATATCAGACAATTGGAAGGAGATGTCAAATTCAGCTGGAATTTTTTGTTGTTTATACTCTGTCAAATTTATGTATTCTTCCATTGATGAATTAACCTTTGTCTCCACTTAGGCAATCTGAAATACTGCTATGCACAAATTCAAGCGAATTATAGCAATTAGGCAAATGGACTCCCCCTACCTGAAAAAAACTGATGATATAGCTCTGCCATGGAACTCCAGGGGGGGTATTCACAAAGCAGGATTTCTTCATTTCTTCATTAGCCAGATAACTTAAGCCAAATGTAAGGATTGTCCAACAGGAAGGTCACTTACCTCTCTTCCTAATGGACGGTTTTCATGTTAGGCTTAAGTTATCTGGCTAACTGAGAGATCCTGCTTTGTGGAATACCCCCCAGGTCACAGCTGCCGTGTGTTTCAACAGAACTGCATTTTTGGCTGTTTACAGCAGCGTGTGGCTGAGATGGATGCCGTTTTAAGTGTTTGCCGGATGAAAGAAACAATGAAACTAATGGCTCCTATGTCACTGAATCAGTAAATCAGCACAAATTTGGTTTCAGTATTGCACTATATACATTACAACAGAAAAGCTATAGTGTAATTATTCTCCGAAACTTCAAAGAAAGTTTATGAGTAATGCTCCTGGAATGTATATGTAAAGAGCGAATTTTGAGGATGGTCTCTGATGTTGCTGGGGGGTTTTCTTTAGAAGAACTTAAGTGTACCATGTCGAAGTTCTGTCTAAAATTCCCCCTTATGGATAATGAAGAGGTGGATCCCCTTTTCTGCACAGCCATTTTGATCCTATCTCTACAGATGGCATATATAATGACCCAGGCTCCGCCCCTGCTGACACACCATTGGCCGGCAGCTCCAGGTTGCATGGAGCTCACAAGTATCGCAGGCCAAAGTGTCACAAACAAGCTAAGTGACATCTCTCATATTGGCTTCTTCTCATATTTATGTTTTCCGTGTTGCTGAGAATTTTGCTGGTGCTTTTAATGTGATGTGAGTGTTTACTAATATATATATATATATTAGTAAACAAATTAATAAAGTAACGATTTTTGTTATGAAACCAATACATTTCCAATATTTTTACTTATTTAAGCAAGCGTCCCAAGACTAAGCAAGCACTGTATATGTTTATAAAAATGCAGGGGATAATGCAGTGATCGAATGTGGTTTTATGCTACAAACAGGCTTGCCAATACATTGAAATATGTAGTTCAACCCCTTTGACAAATGGCTGCATTCTTTAAATGTTTGGGTTTCATTTTCTCAGTGTTATCATAAACACTTCCTAATATGCAGTCATTTAGGAGGACATTCTGAAATGTCAAGATATTATCGGCCAAACAAAACCATACCATCAGTAAAGACCTCGGTTAAGCCACTTCAGAAGAGCCTTGTATGTATATTGCATTTATAATAATATTTTCATACCACTTTGACGACAAAGTTATTGCTTATTTCTCATCTCTCAATAACAGCCAATTAGGCTCAAAGTGTTTTTGGACATCTCGTCTTTCCAGACTTCAGTTGGAATTTCCTATTATTTATGGTCAAAATATAGCCTTTGACTGAGAAAGATACTGTTTCCTTGATTTGTATTATAATATTCATAAATTCTGAAAATAAGTCATTCAGTGGTAAAAACGATACATTTCTATGGTAAAAAATACTGCAGAAAGAATCTTCTACATTTTTAAAATATTCATGCCTCTTGGAAAATAACATCCATTTCATGACATTTCTTAAATAGTTACGTCAGTGTCTCGCGCGTAAATCGGTCTAGCTGGTATTGTATCTGTTTTTCCGTTCATGGTAATGTTTTTTGGTGTGTCCACTATGGCACCTAAATGAAAGCATCTGTGGTCTGAAGGGCAAATGACAGAAAACAGTGGCAACATCAAAATTTTATGTCTCTCGTGGTCTGTCACTGTGACCGAATTAACATGAAAAAATTCCCCGCCTACCCTAGGACATTGTGAAATCCCAGATCCCGCTCGGCCATGTCTTGGATCTGTTTGTTGAATCTCATGCCCATGGAGAGTAAGTGCTACATTCCACTGGAAACAGCCGCCTGCCTTCCGTCTCCAGAACTTTCTGAACTGGAGTCCGGTTCAAAAGCCGTGACATTTAGTGTGACGGTCCAAAAAAGTCCCCTAATTCACCGAACAAAAACAAGGAGTAGATACAAACAAAAATGAGTACAACATAAAGGAAATAGTTGGTGTTGCTAGATTGTTCTATTAAAAGTAGTGGTTTAAAGCTTTATTCTCATGACCTTTCATATGCTTAGTGGCAATTTACACCATATTCTTGAAGTCTTAAAAACATGTTGAAATGAATTAGTGGAACGGTGCAGTTTTTACAACTTGGCTACTGTGTATGCGGTATGTGTATGCGTCCGTCTAAGCGTGTGTAATTTTTATTACGACAATTATAGTCTGTCTATTGAATTGACCCCAGCTGGATGATACAAAGGTTTCCCATAATAGTTCCTACAGGTCTCCAGACAAATAAATATGAAACCAGCCCTGCAATTGATGTGCAAGTGTGTAATGCAGCACTGACATGAGTGTTCCTGCGGAAGCGAATGACTTAGGAGAATTTAGCTGTGGTATCCGGTTTATGAAACAAATCCATTAAATGGAAGTGGGTGTGTGTGTGTTTGGGGTGTGGGGGGTTAAGGCTCCTCTTCGCCTGGTAGGTGCAGGCCTTGGCCTTGTCACTGCCTAATCTTGGCCCCCTCGTCTTGGGGGTGGGTTGGGGCTCTGTGGGTTAGGAAGCAGTACCCAT